TCAGAACATGTCCAAGTCAAAGAAGAACTGAAGTTGTGAACAATTGTCCAACAATATCAGAATCGTGTAATCTATGTAAAGCAAACCCAAGGGTGAACTTGTGAATGACCTGCGGTAACAACAATTTACATCTGCTGCTACTTATTCACTATTACACTGCACATAAAACAAGAAACCAGGGCATCAATTTCAATAGAATACTATTCAAACTTCTCAACAAGCAGATATTCTAGAAATTCAGGTTACATTTTTTTTTCTGTCTAGATATTCTCAACAAGCAGATATTCTAGATATTCTCAACAAGCTGATACTGGGAGTGTGGATTCTATGCAAATCGGTATCTATCCACAGACATATTCATCAAAATCGAGCCCTACAGAACACAAATCAAACGAATCTTACCGGAGTCTTTCGCCGATTTCTGAGCTCCGGTGACAAGACCAGGATGTCCAGGTTTTTCTGGTGGCTCCATAACTATTGGAGTGAAATCAAAGTGGGGTGCGGCGGCGACGAGCAAGTGACGGGAGTGGCTGTGGCGATGACGAGCAGACGGGAGAGAGAGAGACGACCGAGAGTGAAGAGTGAAGACCGAAGGGTTATTTGGCCCAGTAGAACAAGAAGAGGGGCGAGCGAAATCAAGAGTGAAGGGAATTATTTAGCCCATTTGAGATTTGTATTGGGCTTTAAATTAAAAGTGAGCCTAGTATGGGTTGGGCCGGTATTACCGACGGTAAAATACCGTTTAAATACGATAATTTTCGAAAACGATCGGAAAAGGGCTAAACCGTTTTCGTTTTCATTTTCGAATTTTTTTACCGTTTCCATTTCCGTTTTTCCGGTTACCGTTTCCGTTTCCGTTTAGCCTCCAAATCCGAAAAAATTTCGAAAACGATTCCCGGTAATCGGAAATTACCGTTTCCGTTTTCATCCCTACTCATGCTTAAAGATATTAATGTGTTCAAAGAGTGCATGTGGACGCACCTTCTTTAATTAAAAAATAATAAAATATTTTTTTTACATGATATTAAATATTTAACTAACGAATTATGAATAATTCATTGGATCTAGGGATGACCAAAATTACATACGCATTGCAATACCAAAAAAAAAAAATAATAATAATAAAAATAAAAATAAAAATCCATATAAAATGAAGTGAGCCTTTTGTATCAATCTTAAACAAGACAAGTGAAGATGATTGTGGCCGAAGATCAACCATATAAAATGACTTGGATATAAATGAATCATTTTAACAAAAAATAACTTCCTCTACTTCACCTCAGCTATGAAATGACTTGGAGAGAGAATATTGTTAACATATTTATTATAACTAGTACGTACTTCGTGCAATGCACGGGACAAAGATATTAAATGATTTATTTTCACAGTCTTGTCCGTTTAGGTCTAAGACGTAATAGGGTTGTTGTATATTTTCTTCCATTTTTAATCAACGTTAAGTCTAAAAACAATAAGGTTATAAGATTTTTTCACATCTTTTAACCAGCGTTGTTTTTTTTAGTCAGAACATTAAATACGAGCATTTTGTTGTAGCAAATTATTTTTATTTTTATCGAGTACCGAATCAAAAGATTCGTTCTCTGGGTCGACGAGGAAGACGGTTCAGAATTTAGCATTGGTATTAATCACACACGAAAAGAAAATAAGTTTTGAACATTCTAATCATGATGGATATGGAGAATTAACGAAAACAAGCTAGAACTAGAAAAACAATTTAAAGAAATAACAGTTAAATTTTTAGAGAAAAAGAAGAAGTTCTAGGGGTAGGGAAATATCATCAAGTCTTAAACTATGTTGAACGCTTATTTGTTCGGTTACGAGATTTAACAAGCCTACACGTCTAGAGGGCTATGCTCAATAACTCTTTGTAACAAGAGCACATACATAAACGATAAACTCATTCAAACAAGCAACACATAGACAATACATTTCCGAACAAGTCTACTCTATACGAGCCTAAATCGACCGACATCTCCCTCTCGGATCTAAACGTCGATTAACTAGGTTAGAATGGTGATCAATCAACTAACCCTATAATTCACACAACTCGCATAGATTGAACAAAACACATTCCTCATAATTCAAAACAAGAATCAAAATCCCTAACCCTAGGTGAACGGATTACCTCATGCTTAGATTCAATCTCATGTTAACCGGAATTAAGAACATTAAATCAATCAACAACAATAAAATAGAATTAAAAAACTTACAATCGGATTAAAACTTGCAAGATTTCAATCCAAACGTCTTTGTGTCCAACAATCCAAGCATGAGAAAATAAAAAAAAAAAAGTCGGAGAAAATTATCCTACAATATTGAGTTTTTGGAGAGAAAACTTGAAGAAGACAAGTTTGGGGATTGTTCCTTAGGTCTGGAGGGTCGTTTTGATATATAGAACTCGAAAGACAGAGCTAAAACGAGGAAAAACGAACAAAAACAAAACAGGGTCGAAGCAGTCGCGACTCGCAACATTTTCGCGA